GTGTGTGTGTGTGTGTGTGTGTGTGTGTGTGTGTGTGTGTGTGTGTGAGATGGAGGTACACAGGGTGGGGGAGGATTGTGAGCTGAGTTTTGGAAGAGTGAAGAGGAACAAAAAAGGGGCAACTGAGCGGAAGAAAGAGAAGTTAGATTGAGTGTTGAGAATATACTTAAGCCCTTTGACCTTTTTCTCATGGGACTGGGTAAATATTTTAACTGATTTAAAAAATATATATAATACATATATATAATACATGTATTATATATATACATATGTATTATATATAATACATATATATATATATATATATATACACACACATATATATATATATTTTTTTTTTTTTTCTTTTGGCTGCGTCACGTGGCTTGTGGGATCTTAATTCCCTGACCAGGGGTCAAACCCGGGCCCACTGCAGTGACACTGCCGAGTCTTAACCACTGGACAGCCAGGGAATTCCCTAAATTATATTTTTATACAGGAGTGCGGCTTCTTCTGCTGTGTTTTGTGCTTACTCTGAACCTCATAGGGCATCCCTATTCATGTCAAAGATGAATGCCTTCCTTACGAATGAATGTTTTCTATGGAGAAATGACATAGGCTTACCTTATTTCAATGCCTTTTGCCGCTCTCTTGGCACTAGGTGAGCTCCATCAACGCACATACGTTCCTTATGATGAAATGTATAGCTGAGGACGCCCCTGTTTTGGAAGAAGGCAATTTGGTTCGAGTCTGTCCTGGGAATTGGGGTCTTGTCTTCATGTCTGGCCAAGGGGGATCTTCTGGAGCTTCTGCCCAGACCCCTCTGGAAGCTTTGCCTGCAGTTATTTAGGCGTGTTGTGAGCTGAAGCCTCAACTCTGTAAAGGCTCTGAGATTCTATTTCTCCTCAGGACAGGTAAAGCCTCCTGCCCCAGAGCCTACTGTGGCCTCAAGCCCCTGGTGCAGCCACAAGGCTGATACCCCAGGGTCTCTAACTAAAATGTCTGGAGGGCCTCAGGAGCCTCGTTTAACTTGTTTATCCTTAGTGCAGAGGCTCCTCGCATAACACTGGCATCTTTTGAGAAGGAATACATTGGCAGTCAGCCTGGAAGCTGCAATCCCTATGGGAAAGGAAGGCATGGACTCCAGAAGGCCTCTGTTAGCAGTGGACATGTGGGGGCCAGGCAAGCAGAACTATTAGCCATCTGCATCCAATGATTGCAGAATTCTGAGGAAATGGCTTGGGTACTGCCCCAAACATCTGGTACTGCACTATCCTCTACTGAGAAGGCACTTAGGGGGAAGAGGTGAAGAGAGACGAGTTTCTTTTTCAAAGTCCTCACTTGTAGGACCCTGTCCTTTTGCCTTTACTCTCTGTGATGCCTCTGACAAACTGTACCGTTGTCCCTCGGTATCCACGGGGCACTGATTCCAGGGGTCCCTGCAAATACCCAAATCCGTGGATGCTCAAGTCCTTTATGTAACATGGCATAGTCCACTGAATACAGTTGACCCTCCGCGTTCTCGGATTCAACAAACCCCAGATCAAAATTTAATCTGCTGTCCATGGTTGGTTGAATCCCCTAATGCAAAGCCCGTGAAAAGGGAGCGCCGACTGTACATTTGTTGAAAAGAATCCGTGTATAATTGGACCCAGGCAGTTCAGACTCCACGCTGTTCAAGGGTCAACTGTAACTGGCTCACTTAGGGCTGGGAGAACAGCTAAAAAGCAACAGACAATGACGGGAATCGGATAAGTCGGTGTCATTGGCCCAGGCTTTTTTTTATTCTATATGTGGTAAATAAAGTCGCTTTATTACCTACCATGTGGGAGATTCTATCATCTATCTATCTATCTATCTATCTATCTATCTATCTAGTGACTATGAGCACACAGTTTGTTCATTCCAACTTGACCTGACTTTGCCTGTAAACCATGTGTTTATGGTCAGCTCCAACTGTTCTTTCTGGTTCCATTTTCCCTTTTGCTCTTGGCCCAGACATTTCTGATGGGTGAGGGAGTAAGTCCCTCTCTGCCTGGATTATTTTCATTCATTCCCAAAAAATACATATTGTTTCCCTACCATGTGTCAGGCACTGTTCTAGGCATTTAGGATACATTTGTGAACAACATAGAGAAAGATCCCTGTGGGGGTGGGGTCAGGGGAAGATAGATAATAAGCAATAAACATAAATATATAAATTACATAGTATGTTAGGAGATAATAAATGCTATGGGGACAAAAACGAACAAGGTTGTGCAGGTTAAGGGTGATCAAGAGTGTCAGGGTGTAGGGAAAGGGCAAGTTTCAGTATTAAACAGGGTGGTCAAATGGGTCTCATTGAAAAGGTGAGAATCTAAAGACTGAAGGAGTGAGAAGGTTGGCAAGTAGATTTCTGGGGCAAGAGCGTTCAGGTAGAGGGTAGAGCTAGAGCAGAGACCTCACTGTGGGAACACGCCTAGTGTGTTTGAATAACATCAAGGAGGCTGGACTCCCAGAATGGGTGAGGAAGGGAGTATCCAAAGAGGAAGACAGGAAATTCTCTGGCGGTGCAGTGATTAGGACTCTGTGCTTCCACTGCTGGGGGCCCGAGTTCGATCCCTGGACAGGGAACTAAGATCCCGCAAGTCATGTGGCGCGGCCAAAATTTTTTAAAAAAAATAAATAAATAAAAGAAAATAATCCAAAGAGGGAGCCAGGGAGGTGAGTGGTGGGAAGAGTGGGCAGATAATGGAGGAACTCTTTGGCCATTGTAAAGACTTCCATTTTTACACTGAGAGAAATGGGGAGTTATTAAAGCGTAACCCTAAAAGAAACGGGGCAGAGGGGGCTTTTGAAGTTTTGATTAGAGAGTGATGTGGTCTAAAGTATGTTTTAAAAGGATCACTCTTGGGGATTCCCTGGAGGTCCAGAGGTTAGGACTCCGCACTTCCATTGCAGGGGGTGTGGGTTTGATCCCTGGTCGGGGTACTAAGATCCTACAAGCCCCAAGGTGCGGCCAAAAAAAAAAAAAAAAGATCACTCTGGCTTCTGTGTTGAAGGCCAGAGTAGAAGCAGGGAGACTTTTGATAGGAGGACACAGCAGTAATCCAGGTGAGAGATGACGGTGGCTTTGACTAGGACAGCAGCCATAAAGGAGGGGAGAAGTGGGTGGATTCCAGATGCATTCTGTTGGTAGAGTTAATTCCTGTCAGATCTGACGTGCATGTAAGAGGAAGACAAGAGTCAAGGATAACTCAATGTTTAGGCCTGAACCACTGGAAGAATAGAGTTGCCATCAACTGTGATAGGAAAGACTGCAGGTAGATCAAGTTTGGGGAGCATCTCAAGAGTCTAGTTTTGGACATCTTGAGTTTGGAGATGTGGGGCGGACAGTCGGATATATGAGTCTAGAGTTCAGGGCAGAGGTCTGGACGAGGTATAAATGTGGGTCATGGGTGCATAGATTGTATTTAAAACCACATATCTAGATGAGATCATCAAAAGAGGTAGATAAGGAAGAGTAGAGGACTGAGGTCTGAGCCCTGCGCACGTCAACACTTAGAGGTCAGGGAAAAGAGGCGGAGCCAGGAAAAGAGACCAAGAAGGTGGGAGCAGTGAGAGAGGAGGAAAACCAAGAGAGTGAGGTGTTCTGGAAGTCCAGGGAAGAATGTGTATCAAGGAGGAGGATGTGGTTGATTATATCAGATGTTATTAATCAGTAAGACGAGAACTGACCACTGGATTTATTAAGCCATGGTAACTTGGACCAGAATAATTTCTGTGGAGCACTGAGGGATAGAGGCCTGATTTGGGGTTGGTTTAAAAAGGACTGGAGGAGAGGAACCGGACATAGCAAGTACAGATGATTCTTCTGAGGAATTTGCTCTAAAGGGGAGCAAACAAATGGGAGAGAGGCTGCCAAGGGAAGTACAGTCATTAAAAGGCTTTTTTTTTTTTTTTAAGATGTGGGAAATAATAGCATGTTTGTGTGCTCATGGAAAGAATCCAGCAGAGAGTAATAATTTGGTGTAGGAAGAATTGCTGAGTAATATCCGCGAGTAGGTGAGAGGGACTGGGCTGCCTGCGCAAGTGGAGGAATTTGCTTTTGATGGATGGGTCACCTCCGATAGTAGGTGGAAAGGCAGAGTGTGAAGACGCAACTGCTGGACAGGGGATAAATGTGATGGTGGGAATCTGCAGATTTCTCCTCTTGTTGCTTCTACTTTCCCAGTGAAAAAAGAATCCAATTAGCTTCTTTTAGAATTCAGCTGAGAGTGAGAATGGGAAGGGAATATTAAGGGTTTGAGAAGAGAAAAGAAGGTACAAAACTGTCACCCAGGAGCATAGGTGAGTGAACGGATCAGGGAAACGTAAGTATGACTGTTGGGCAGCATTAAGGGCCCACTTAAGTTTCATCAGCATGAACTTCAAATGAGGTCAAGCAGCGGGGCTGTGTGTATTTCTCTGGCTAGGTATGGCCATGAAATTTACACTGGGTCAGGAGGGGATTAAGAACATCAAAGGGGTGGGCAACAGTGAAGGGTGTAGTGGGATCAACATATTGGAGGCTCTGGTGGGGTCAGAGGATGGCTGGGATCAAGCAAGGAGGTGAGCTGGAAAGATAGGAGGAGGCACGAAATTGAGATCATGGAGGGACTGCAGTTGTGTGTAATCACAACTATGGGTTGAGGGGAGGGAAAATCACTGGAGGAGAGAAATTCAAGAGACTGAGAGGCTGGGGTATTGGAAGGGTCATCTACTCTATACTGAATCGCCACGAGTTAAGACAGTGTTGGTGAGAGTGGCAGTGAACCAAGACCTAGAATATTTGCAAAATAACGCCTGGGGGTCAGGAGAAGACAGCAGTGATTGGTATAATTTGATAACACGAAATTCAACGTGGTGTGCAAGGGAATACTTCTAAAGGTGACGATGACCAGTAAGGAGGACACCTATCTCACCTCCAGGTCTAGGGACGGGGGCTGTGAGAGAACAAAATCAGGCCCTGCTGGAGAAGGCTGTGAGGGCAGCAGTGAACTCAGGGGAGAGCTGGGTGTCCCGTAGGGACAGAAGTGAAGAGGATGCTCAGACAACAGGTTGAGGATAAAGGAGAGTTTGCTAATCACGGATTATGAACTCCAGAGGTCACGGAGGAAGAGTTTCAGGACTTGGGGAGGGTGGGAGAGGCCACAAAATAGGGGAAAGACAGGGCCTCTGGGAGCCAGGGAGATTTTAGGACTGACATGAACAGGAACGAGGACACAACGCACAGATGATGGCGGCAAGACTGAGTGCTGGGATTTCAGAGGCTCCTGATGACGCAGCAGGGGAGAGGAGGCTCTCTGAATAGAGTGTGTCCCTGCCCCAGCCTGGCAACTCCCCGAAGGGGCCTCTCCTACCCCTTTGCTGCTAATTTGTTCTTTTCCAAAGGCTTCACCTAGCAGTTGTGACAATTCTGATGGCCATGTTATCCACTCACTGGTTTTGAAAGAAGTTGAATAGATTTTCCTGTCTCTGATAACTGTATTTCCTGTTTCTCTAAAAGCCCTAAAAGTACTTTATCACATTCACGCCCTCCACACCCCAGAGTACACATCTGGGGCTCTGTTGACACACTTGTCCCATGGACTACTGCCAAAAAGGTCTGAGTTCAAATATTCACAGGGCTGAAACTCTCCCAGATGAGCATTTGGGGAAGGCTGAGGTTGCTCCGAGGACTATCATACAGTCCGTCAAAGCCCATCTCATCCCTTCTTACGTCTCCATACAAAACCTTTTCACCTCTCTGCGTGCACGATAAACTGCTTTGGCAGAAAAGCTTCCAAGTTCGGGGAAGATGGTTTTCCCTCATGTGGTCCACGTTTCAGAGAACACAGCTGCTCACCATCTTGGTGAATGAGGTCGTGCTTCAGTTCCTGGCTGCTCAAACCCCTCGTCTTCATTCAGCTCCTCCTCTGGGCTCAGCTCTGTCCTGGTTGAAAGCTCAGCCCCATTCCTTTGGGCTCGCTCATAGCCTGAGCCGGCAGCCCTCTAATCACCTCCAGGGTTTGCTTCTGGACACTCCCCAAGGCACTTCCAGAAGCAGGTTTGGGAAAGGCAGCCCAGGATGCTAATAAAAGAGTGGTGTTTGCTAAGTTAAACGAAAGGATGAGCTCCTGGGAAACAGGTGAGGTTCTGACATCCATGTCAGCTGTTCAAACACCAATTTCTCATCTTGTGGTCTTCTGGGAACTCAGAAATCTGCTCTGTTCTGGTATGGCCTGATGCTTTGTTTGGGGGAAGCCCACTTTCTCTCCTACCCTCACTTTAACTTACCTCAACAATTCTACCTTAACCAGCTCTCCAGAAAAGATAGCCAAACTGGAATGTGACCAGTTAGACTCAACAGTTACCTCTTTAGTGAATAATTGCATTTTAGTGAGGAAGATGGGGGTCAGCAAATTCAAATGTCAATGGGCCAAGCAGGAGGGTGGGAATAAAAAACGGGATGGGATGGCTGGGACTGGGGTGGACCACAGAGTACATGTCAGTGTGGCCAGCTCTTAAAGATTGGGGGGGGAGAAGCTAAAAAAATCCAGATATTTCTGCACAATCTTCCAATTTTAAATGTTTGGTAATTAACTCAACTTTTAAAAAATGCTAGGAAAGCCAGAAAAAATATATCTTTGGGTCGCCTTGGCCCATGGCCCAAGGTGAGATAGCAGCGACCTGTGTAAATTTAAGTACACATCTGGTTCTGTGTTAAGCACAATGGTTCTTTTATGGTTGATTTTTAGTAAGGAGGCCACTTGGGGCTCCCTGTGGTCCTGAGATCACACAGGAAGGGCTGACCTTGGTGACTGCATCCAGTCCATTCAGAGTCCTCCTCTTACGGAGAGTTTGTTCCTCTATACACTGGGGTCTTAAGGTAGGTTGCCTGGCCCCCTCAGGAATGCCATCAAGTTCAACGAGGCTGCAATCACTCGGGTCTACTAGAGGCAGGCAGGTGTTACAGCAATGTCTTCCTCACTGTTAAAGACAGCTGAAGGCTGAAGTGGAGTCATGCCAACCTCTGGTCTGAGAGACCATCAGAGCTGATTAGCCTACAGCAGAGGTTCCACAGGTGACCGCTGGAGTCAGATCCCTGAGTTCGAAACTCTTCTCTGCTAGTTAATTAGCCTCTCTGACCTCAGTTTTCTCATCTGTAAAATGGGGAATTAATAGTACATTCTAAGCAGGATGAGCTGACCAAGTGCTTCCTTAGCACAGCAACTCGAGAGTAAGCGCCCACATTGGAAGAGGAGTGTGACTTCATTTTTTAAACCAGGGCTTTATTTAGCATTTAGTTAAAGCTTATTTTTACAGACACATTTGAAAACTGGTGGTTCAGATCTGTTTCACTCATTATCTCCAAACCTGCCTTGCTCTTTGCCACCCTCTCCTGGAGCCATCAGATGTCCGAGTTTCCTGGGAATAATTTTTGTGTCTGAATCCCTTAGCCCAGGTGGTGGAACTTCATTAACCTTTTTCCCAGAGCAGTCTTATTGTGTCCAACAGGCTCCTTCTCAGGGAGCTGCACCCCATTAAGTCCCAGGCTCAGGAGACTGGCTCAGAAAACTGCACCAAGCTCCTGGGAACCAGCCTGCTGGGACAGCAACTCTCTTTTCCAGCGGAGAGATATCCCCTCTTCACATGTGTGTACTCCCAGCTTTTTTCCCCTCTTTTAGATTTACTCTGCCTGCAGCCTGTTCCCCACCGTCGTCCGTCCCCACCTCCACCCAAACGAAAAGGGCCATCAAAAATTTAGAATCAAATTTTACATTTAAAAATGTGATTTCGTTCGTTGCCTTCTAACCTAAGGCAGCACCCCCCACCCATCTTGAAAGAGAAGTCAGCATTTCAGGAAGACTGGCCACAGCCTTTAAAAAATACCAGGGGAGGGAGGAAACGGTCTGCGATTGGGAGTTCGGGAGGTGTATCCTGAGTGGAGAGAAAACCCTCAGGTTAGGCACTCAGGGGGTCTCGGGCGAGGAAAAGGAAGCCAGGCCTCTGCTACGGATGGAGCCCGCCCCTCCCAACTCGGAGAGCAGCCTGCAGCGCAGCGATGGCCGGAAGTGCTGGGCTCAGAGGAGGGTGGGTGGAGACGGGCTACCCGGGAGCTGTGTCTCCCCGCTCGCCGGACTGGGATATTTATAGCACCTGTGTTTCTGGACCTGTCTCCACCTGGATTTATGCGGTCTGTGGCTGTAGCGTGTGTGTGTGGTGGTGGGGGAACGAGGGGAGCACGTCTTGCTGCAAGGGCTGATTCTCGGCCTTGGCGCTCTGGCTGGAATGGAAGTTTCAAAATCAAAACAAGGAGCCATCTGGGGGAACACCGCGGCAGAGCGGCTTCTCGGTGCTGCGTCTGCAAAGCAGTCGGCGGTTAGGCCCGGTGAAACCCGGGGCTTTCCAACTCCGCTCAGTGTCACATTTACCGCAGCCGTGGGCGGGGGTGGGCGGCAGGGGAAGTGGATCCCACCCACCCAGTCGCCTAGGGGCTCTGGCTTTCCCTTTCTCGCTGCTCTAGCGCAGAGTTAAAGCTGAAAGAATGTTCGTTCTCCCGGGGGCTGGGGGTGGAGGATCTGCACTTTGAAAGAGGAGCCCAGAGAGCACGTGGTGGCCCAGCGTCTGTTGAGACCGGCACGTGGAGTCCACGTCTGCGGACCTACCATCCCAGTCCGCACCCTCAACTTCCACTAATCGCTACGTGCCTGGTTGATGTCAGACGGCGATGACATCATTTAAAAAATGAAATAACTGCCCCTTAGGTTTTTCAAGAACCTAGCGGGCAGATAATCCCGAGGGAGAGCCTACCGCCGGTCCTTGAGGCGGCCGTCTGCAGTGCCTACCTGTAAAGCCGCCCCGACTGCTCCACCAAGAATTAGTATGGAGAAGAGGCCCTGGGCAGGGTGGGCGGAAGATCCAGGAGAGCTGAGGACAGCAGCGATACCTAGAGAAACGAAAACATCGTTGACATTGCTCCAGCACGTTCCCTTTCTCATTTAACCTCAGGGCGGCACAAATGAGGTAGCACTATTGTCAGGGTGCCCATTTCACAGGTGGAGAAACTGACGCTTAGAAAGGCTAAGGGACGTGCCCCAAGGTGACGTAGCAAAGGCCACCTTCAGTTTCAAACTGAGATTCGGGGGACCTGCGGGTTAGGGTGCGCGGCGAGGACGGAGGAGGCAGGCGGGCGTGGGGCGGGAGCGATTCCGCCGGCTGCGGCCGCGCGGGGAGGAGCCGGGGTCCCGGCAGCGCCGCGCCGGCCCGGGGCCGCTCCAGGGCCGGTTTGGTCGCCCGGGACGAGGGGCGGCCAGCCGGGAATCTGGAGCGGGACGGCGAGGCCGGGGCAGTTGCCAGACGCGGCTGGTGACGGGCCCGCGCCGCCGGCCCCCACCTCCGGGCCGCGCTGCGGTCGGGCAGCGAGCAGGCCACATACCGCGCGGCGCAGAGGAAATGGCTGGAATTCCTCCCGCGGCGCCTCCCTCGGGCCTCGGGGAGGGCGCGGCGCTGGCGAGGGCTGCCCCGGCTCCCAGCTCCGGGCACGGAAGGGGACCCCTTCCCTGGGAGGGCCGCCACCACTCACTGCGAAAGGGCACAAGGTCGGCCCCCGCAGAGACTACCCGGCCCTGCCCAGTCTCCTGCCCCCTTAACCTGTCTCGGGCTCAGATCGTCTGGGCCGGCCATCTGGGGAGCGGGTCCTGCACCCCTACTCAATCCCCTGCTGATCAGGCCTCAGGCCCCAGCAACCGGGATGGTGCACAAAGCGTACAGCGTGCGAGGGGCCTAGCTGAGCGCGACGCTGAAGCTCCAGGCAGTGAGGACTCTGCAAGTCCCAGCCTACGCTTTTGGAAAGCCCTGGCCACTGATATCTGCAAATGTTCTAGGCTATTTAAATGTTTGTTAAATGAATGCATGAGAATTGGGTAGGCACGGTACAAACGGAAGCAGAGACCAAAGGAAAAGCAGGCCAAATGTAGATCCTGCTAGAAAGCGTTCATCTTCGCTTCCTGCTTAGGCAAAGAACCTGCTACCTAGGCCTGTCCTGCTCTCTCTCACCTGCCAACCCAAGGCAAGCACAGCCCAGAGGGCCTGGCACCAAGACGACTTTGACCTTCACACCTTGAGCCTAATCTTAATCTCAAGGCCCACACTCAACTCTCTTACCCCGGCTTTAGGCTCTGGTGTCTTTTTGCATATCCCACCCTTCCCCGGCTCCACCTCCAATACTTCCCTGGCTGGCCCTCTTCCTTTCTTCACAGAGGGCTCAGGAGGGTCTGATTCCACATGAAGTGGGGCTCTCCTCCCATTCCAGATGGGACTGGGGCGCAGAAGGTGGGGCCCCAGGCCAAGGCTGGGGGCGGGGATGGCGTGGCTATGTCTGCACCCGCCCCCCCCCAGCTGCCATCCCGATGGTTTCAAGCCTGGGAGCAGGGCAGGGACAGGGTTTCCCAAATTAATCCACATCTGAGACCAGGTTATCAGTTTAAATTTCTACCCTCTCTAGGGGCTTCTGAGCAGCAGACCAACCCTGGGGAGGGACTTCTCCTGCAAGGCCCCAGGAAGCATTAGGAGGCCAGAGGCAGGCCTGTCCTAATGCACTTGTCTCTCCTCGGCCAGGTCAAGGTGGGGGGGGGGGGCGATGGGGAGGGGCAGGGAGTGAGGTGTCATTGTCAAGACTGCCCCTGGACGCTGGCCCACGAGGAGCAGGCCCAGGAGGCCTTGGCGGACCTTCCATACAGATGCAGGCAGACAGAAACACAGACGGCTCACAGTGACAGTCTTGCTTCTGGGAATTTTGGAAATGAAAACTCGTACATTTTTCACAGAAAAAGGAACAGATTTTGGCATCTTCGCTCCAGAAACAGGAACTGACCAAGACAGTGGCCTCTGATAATCACTTCCTCATCTCAGGGCTCAGAAGCTGGTGGGGAATCCCTCAGCTCTTCTGTTTTCTCCCCAGTGTTCTGTGGGTAGGAGCCCGAGGGTTTTAGGGGAGAGAAAGGAAGGGAAAGGAGAAAGGCATAGCAGAGAGGAGGGAGGCAAGGAGGGGAGATATTTTTAAACTGTGTCCTTGAGGATTGAGGAGGCCGGGAGCCAGATGGGGATGGGGTCGGGGCCAGAGGGCACTTAACGGGAGCTCAGTGTAGCTGTTATTTCCATCTCCTCCTGGAAAGAGCGCCCGTATTCTGTGTCCCTCAGAGTTCACGGTTCTGTGGACCTGAGCCTCATAGTGAAGTACGGCAAACACACTTAGCCATATTACCTCCTATGCATTTATTGAACACCTACTGCATGTCCACAGGTTGCTAGGTACTGAGTGGATAAGAGACAGATTTCTCCCTTGCAGAGCTTAGAGTTGAGTAGAAGGAATTGGCATTCCAAAAATAAAGCATGAAGGTAATGGAGCTGAAAATAATTGCCAAGAGAGGAGAAAGAGGCCAGATCAGGTTGGGGTGGAATATGAAAGGCCTTAGGAAGAGGTCACATTTGAAGTGGGCCTTGAGAGGTAGCTGGGCATTTGCCAGGTGGAGATGGGGAAGGAGGCCCTTCCAGGGCAGAGGAAGTGCATCAGCATAGGTGCGGGGGAGGGAAAGTGTGAGCACATCCAGGACACTAAGAATGTAGGGCAAAAGCGGGTGCAAAGGAATAATGGGAGAAACAGCTGGAGCAGGAACTGGTCCACTTTGCAGACGGTCCTGAGTGCCAGGCTGAGGTATGTGGGATTCCTCAGAGGGCCATGAGGCGGCCTTGACTGGCAATGGCCTGACAAATGCAGCACCACGTGCTGCTGGCAGCTCAGAGAAAGGAGTGAGGCAATGGGGAGGACGGCGGAGAGATGGGGAAGCAGCCAGACCCATCTGTGATAACTCAGCCAGACCATTAAAGTGTTTTATAGTCCAGGCCCCTGCTATGTGCAGCTGACCTGAAATTGGTCCCACTGAGCAGATCTTTGTTTGTTCAAGGGTTTTGCTGCAAAACTCTGAGCCTCAGTTCTCCTATGGGAGCAAAGTGAAGGTGGTACCTGTGTTCTTGTGTGGAATGACCAGAGTGGTAGTCCCTGTGGGCAATCAGAGACCTTCGTCTCCTAAACAGGCTGATGGGGGAGTGGGGTACCTGCGCCGGCATGGAGAGCGTGAGTGGGAGAAATCACAGATGTGGGCTCTGAAAAGGGTGAGACCTTGGGGTAGCCCAGATAGGGGAGAGAGAGAGCCAGTCTCCTGAGGCAGCCAGGGTGGGAAGGGGTTGGGGTCTCTGAATAGACCCAGCTGGACCCTCTTCCAGCTCTGTGCCTCTGTCCCTCACAGAGCACTTCTCACGTGGGGCAGGAAGGAACTTTCTCAGCAATAGGCAGAGAGGGTTTATGGGGTGTAATTATTATTATTTAAAAATTTAAAAACAAAATTTATTTTGAAATAATTTCAAACTTAAAGAAAAGTTGCAAGAAGAGTATAAACAACTCTCTTAGCTCCTTAAATCAGATTCTACAATCATTAACATTTCCCATTTCCTTCCTTCCCGGCCATTATCGTTATTTCTTTTCTGTTCAATCTGAGAGCAAGTTGCAGACATGATGCCATTCCACCCCTAAATATTTCACTGAGTATATTTCTTCAAAAGCAAGTACACTGTTCTATAACCTGTGTGCAACTCATTCAGATTTCCAGATCCCATTCAAATTTTGCCCACTGTCCAATGTCTCCTTTTCTTTTCTAGGCCAGGATCCAAATGCAGATCGTGCGTATAATAAATTTGTGAAAAATAAACGTTATTTCTCTTCCTGGATTGGAAGCTCCTAGAGAGCAGAGGTGGTGTTTCCCACAGGCCTTAGTACTTACTAGGCACTAAATAAAAGCCGAAGGTAAAGGATCGGGATCAGATGCTGCATTATAAGGAGGGGAAGCCCCATGGGTGAGAGCAATGGCTGAGTTTGCTGTTTTGTCACACATCCCCCTCCAGATCTTCTATGACTTCTACGAGTGTGACTGAAATCCCACTTCCTGTGGGGTCTTTACTGGGGGGCCACCTTCTCTGTACTTCTTTCCCTGGCTCCCCCCCCAATCTCCCACTTCTCCCATGGGGCATGTTAGCCTTTCATGAATACACATTTAAGGAGGATTTCACTTTGTCAGGTTTTGTGCCAGGCATGAGAATACAGTGGTGAATAATGCTAATGATGGAAACAGCTAAACGAATCCCCAGCCCCTACAAAGGCCTGAGGATCTCTCCATGGCCTCATAGGGTCTGAGATGGCTACTTGGCTGGAACAGGCAGAATTGTCCTTGCTAGTTATGATTTTGTGGCGCCACCTGCTGGCCGTATGTAAACACATGGACACAGTTACGTGTAAAAGTGTACGCACAAAGAAATTGACTATTAAAACAGAGAGGGAGACACACAAAAGTATGTACACACTGTGAAACATACGCATGTTCGCAAACAGGCACACATACATGGAAACACAGACATATAATCACTTACAGAAATTCAAGATCTAGCATAGTACCGTATCTCTGGTAGGAGTCCAATAAATATTTGCTAGTGTGTAAAAAAAACCCACCAAATTCTTTAGATCAGTTTTCTTTCAGGCTTATTTTTCACCACCTTTTCTAACCAGTAAGGTAAGAACGCTCCACGGTCACTTGCTCCCTGCCCACATTCCTTCCCTCCATCCTATTCTTTCTTTTTTTAAAATATTTTTTATTGAAGTATAGTTGATTTATAATGTTTCAGGTGTACAGCGAAATGATTCGGTTATACATATATATCTATTCCTTTTCAGATTCTTTTCCATTATAGATTATTACAAGATATTGAGTATAGTTCCCTGTGCTATACAGTAGGTCCTTGTTGTTTATTTATTTTATATATGATAGTCTGTATCTATTAACCTCAAACTGCAAATTTATCCCTCTCCCCCTTTCCACTTTGGTAACCTTAAGTTTGTTTTCTATTTCTGTGAGTCTATTTCTGTTTTGTAAATAAGTTCATTTGTATCATTTTTTTAGATTCCACATATAAGTGATATCATACGATATTTGCCTTTTTCTTTCTGATTTACTTCACTTAGTATGATAATCTCTAGGCCCATCCATGTTGCTGCAAATGGCATTCTTTCATTCCTTTTTATGGCCGAGTAATATTCCATTGTGTGTGTATATATATTTCTCCGGCTATATGCCTGGGGGTGGGATTGCTAGATCATATGGTAACTCTATCATCCTATTAATTCATTAAAACCAAATTCAAATGCCATCTTCTCCCTTATCTCTCCAGCTAAGATAATGACTTCCTCTTCTGAACTTTCATAACTTTATGATATTTATCATTTTACTAATTTGCATTTTAGCTATTTGAGGATATGTGTTTTCTCCCTTTCTAGTCTGTAAGCTCCTCAAGGGTAGGGTTTGTGTTTGATTCATGTCCGTGTTCCCCCATAGTACCTGGCACATTGCCTTGCACAAAGTTGGGGCTCAGTAAGTATTTGCTGAATGAATGAATAAATGATACAGTCACAGACACAGAGAAAAACAAAGATAATGCACAGAAATGCACATCTATCTACATAAATTTCTCTCTTCTTGCAAAAATGATACACATTTACATGAAAGCATAGAAACGTGCATATCTATGACTAAAGCT